CGCATCGCTGGCCAAGCCGGCGAGGAGTCGACGAGGTCTAGGAAAGAAGAGCGCGCGACGATCCCCACCACGGAGAGCCCTGTTGTTGGGCCCGCAGACCACCGGCATGAACGGCCAGGAAGAGCTCGGCAGAGCGCAAAATCCCCGGTCGTACCATGAGTCTCCGTTAGAAGGAGGATGTCCGTCGTGCGCATCAACTGCTGGACATTCCGCATCTTCTGGTCACGCCGTGCGGGCTCCGACGCGAAGAAGGCCTGTGCGTTCCACGCGCTAATCGCCGCGTCGCCCCAAAACGGCCCAGTTCGACGGTCGGGGGATGAGGGCGTCGGCGGCGGCCTGGAAAAGGTGGCCGCGCGGGAGCTCGGCCGAGGGGTCAACCCCGAGCGCCCGACGGCGACGCTGCTGCAGATGCGCACTCGCCGGAACATCTGCATGTTGGCTGTGCTGGTACGGGGTGACTATGCCCTCTGGGGACATGAAGGGGCCGATCCCTGGCCGAGGGCGACCCGCAAAGTCAGCTGCATGAGGGAACGTGGAAGCAGAGTGCGAAGAAGAGGAAGCAGACTATGTTGAAGTCGTTGTCGAAGGATGCCGAACAAGTAAAGTAGTCGCTGCCGAGCGCTGCCCGGAAGTAGAGGAAGAAGAAGAATAATGTGATGACAGAAATGTTTGAATCAATGTCGAACGCTGCAGTATCCGGCCAAGGACAGAGAACTCGTGCTCACGGCCCTCGCGGAGCGACCTGTCCTCGGGCAGGAGGAGCCGCGTGGCGATGACAGCGAGGATGCCAACCTCGCCCGTGCAATCGAAAACCTGAATTCCCAACGGCGCTGGGCCGTCAGCCACGTGCCGTGGATCACGGGGGCGGGGAGGCACTGCGCCCGCCTCCAGGCCCCGTTTCCCGCCCCACTGTCCACGTCAAACTTCTCATTCATCACCTCCACGCTCACCTTTGTGTGGCACGCCTGGATGAAGTGTCCATGAAGGGCAGCATGTAGGCGAGTCACCGCCTGCGCATCAGGAAGCAGTGCCCGCGCGCGGCCACCTGCGCCTCCGTGTAGCTCGGCAGGAACGTGCTCGTACTCGTTGTGCTTCAGTGCGCCACCCCTGGTATTCGCCTGGAGCGTCAGTCCGGTCGCTGGGGCAGCGTGCGTGACCAGCAGCCTCGTGGCCTCCGCGTCCTCGCGCCCCAGTTCGCCACGAACTGCGACCTCTGTGAGGTGATCGATGGCGGCCGGGGTGCGGTGGGCCTTCCGGCGAGTGGCGGCGAGCGCCGACCGTGTCCCAGAGAGCGTGGCCTTGGGGCGGCCCCCGCGGGGCGGCTTCCAGCGCAGCGTAGTCGCCGCCGTCGTCGGGTCCGCGCGCAGCGCGCGGTCCACGGCGCCCACCCGCGTGCCTTTGCTCGCCTCCGTGAGGAGGAGGGCTCGCGACTGGCTCAGCGCGAGGAGCTGGCCACAGAGCGGCTAGAAGTGGTGGGGCCCTCGCGGGTTGTTCATGCCCCAAATGAGGGCGTCCGAAGCTGTGTGCAAGGCCTGCGAGCCGAAGAATGTAGTGGAAGGGAAGCGCGGCCAGAGCGCCTAGCCGATGAGAGTCAGATCGAACTCCCCGAAGGTCGGGGGGAGGAGGACATTAATCACGAACCTCGGCATCTCCGTAGTGTGCGCGGGGCTGCGCTGGGGGTTGCGCCAAGTGGCTCCCTGCGTGGCGGGATCCTGCATGAGGGCTGCGAAACTCATCGCGTCCTCCGCCCGCATGTCGAAAGATATTGGCGTAGCCGCGGCAACCTGTAAAAGAGGGGCTCTGTGCTGCAGCATCTTGGGCGGGTCGCGCGCCCCGGAGAAAGCGATCGTGGAGACCGCCTGCCCCGTGCGCGCGTGCCTCGGCGTGGTAGGTCCATGTCGCACCATGTCCAGCGGCTCGTCAGAGATGCCGATGCCTCGAACTAGGGGGGCCCGCCTCTCGCCCAGTAGCGGAGAGCACCAATTTTCGAGTATATGCTGCACGTCGTGCGCACCGTTGAACAAAGGGGGCGGCGCGAGCAAGCGGAGGGAGGCCGGCCGTGCGCCCGCGCTAACTCGGCGAAGCAGCGCCGCCCGGCAGCGTGAGGTCGCATTGTCATCCTCGGGGATCCAGGCGACCGCGTGCTGCCCGTCCAAGGCCTGCCAGGCGCTCTCGCCCCCCTTTTCCAACAACATCGCCACCGCGCGAGTGCGCTCCTGATTGTGGTCGCCGGCCAGGGCAGGTCCAAGCAGCGAGGACCACTGCGTTCGAAACCGCGTATTCTGGTGCCCCGTCTGAGCACAAAGGAGGGCGAGGGCCTCCGTGCCGAGCTCCTTCCAAAGGGGGAGCGTGCCGATGCGGAGGTGGCGCCTTTCCTTCAGCACATCTGGCAACTCCTCAAAACAGGCCGCGGCAGCTAATAGGAAGCCGCTCTGAGCAGTCTCCGCCGCCTGCCGATCGGAAGGCGGCCGCTCGGCCTTGCGGCCCAGCTCGCACAATTGTGCAGCCGTGCGTTCCCGGGCGGCCAGGGACAGGGCCGTGGGCGCGGGGCCCTCCAGCGACGCGTAGCCCAGCCGCCGCCAGGGGTCGGAGGCGTTCGACGCGTAGCCCAAGTGTTGGAGGATGCCCTGCAGCGTGGCCCAGCCCTTGGGGTACTCAACGGTGATGCTGGCCTCGTTCGCCCTGCTTTGCGTCGCGGCCTGGACGAGCTCGAAGTGGCGCAGAACCTCCTGCTCGAGCCACTCATAGAACATCGGGCTTGCTAGGGCAAGCTCGAGAGAGGGGGCGAACTCCAGTGGAGGGGTCGACGAGAGGTCGTCATCCATGTTAGAAACGGCAGAGCTGGCAGCGGGGGCGCCAGGCGCGCGGGCGGGCGGCTCTGCAGCAGGCCATGGGGCGGCAACCCACGGGGCCGCGGTCCCGGCGTGGGCGGCGCAGTGGGCGACCCCCGGCAGGGATGGAGCGTCGACGCCGGAGGCGAGGCAGACGGCGCAACGCCCAGCCATCAGACTGTACACGTGACAGTCACCCAAAAAACAGACTGCAACGGTGAGCCTGAATGCGCCCTGTGCGTGATTTGTTGTGGTTGCTGTTGCTGTTGCTGTTGCTGTTGCTGTTGCTGTTGTGGTGGTTGTTGTTGTTGTTGTCGTCGTCGTCGTTGTTGTTGTTGTTGTTGTTGTTGTTGTTGTTGTTGACTTCTCATTTCTAAAGTATAGTGATTGTTGATCCCCCCTCCAGGGCACATCCTGCTTTTTCCATTGATTGTTGATCCCCCCTCCAGGGCACATCCTGCTTTTTCCATTGACATGCCCTTCCTGGGGCGCGCACCTTGTTTTTGTATCCAGAAAATTTTGAATTTCAGAATTGGTTGTTTGCCCCCGGTTTGCAACAACAGCGGCTCCCGCCTGATACTTCCTCACAATGTATTCCCACATCGCGCTCTCGCGCGGGACTTCTTCACAATGTGTGCAGGAATCGCGCTCTCACGTGGGACTTCCTCACAATTTATTCAGACGCCGTGGCCTCGACACTCAGGAATCACGCTGTCGCTGTGGATTTCCTCACGATTTATTGTGAAATCGCGCTGTCGCTCGAAACTTCCTCGCGATTCATGCAGGACGCACGTTTCAGCAACCCGCCTGCTCGACCTGGCCGCCTGGGCCCGCCTTCCCGACCCGCCCGTAAGGGTCTATCCGCCCGATCTGCCCGCCCGGTTCTGCAACATGTTTTCTGCTCCGAGGCCCCTCCTGCTAACCTCTCTCGTGCTCCATCCTCCTCCTTCCCCCCTCTCCCTTCCTTCCATCCGTCCCTTCTTCACGTGCCTCAGGGGCTGCATGGAATATGCGTTGCAGGCTATATATATGTATGTATATATATATATATATGTATGTACATATGTATACACATACATATATATATATATATATATATATATATATGTGTGTGTATGTGTATACACCCCCAAGGGGGTACCATCGAAGACGAGGAGGATGGGTATCGATGGTTTTTGGGGAAAGACGTGTTGATGGGCACGCGAACAAATCAGAGCGAGCAGTCTGAAAATGATTGTTGTTGTTGATGCTGATTTTGATGATGATGTTGCTGATGATGATGGTGATTCGGATGATGATGCTGATGATGATGATGAAGAGGAGGAGAAAGCGGAGTAGGAGGATGACGATGAGGAGAGACAGGACGAGGGAGGGAGGGAGGAGGAGAACTCCGAGATGGGTCCCCCCCCGCTTTTCGTCGCTGTCCAGATGGCCCCCCAGCCGCCGACTCCCCCCGATCCTGGACCCCCTGCGCTCGGCTCCCCCGCACTTCCTTTCTGTCCTCTTCGACTCCTCGCTGTTCTTTTTTTCCGCGGCCTTCAACAACACAGGCACGTCCTCGTCGTCGTCGTCGGCCTCCTCCTCCTCCTCCTCCTCCTCCTCCTCCTCCGCCTCTTCATCAATCCTTCTCTTCCTCCCGCTCCCCGTCGTCCTTTCCCTCCCCCTTTGCTGCGGCTGCTGCGCCTCCTCTTCTTCCTCCTCCTTTTCCCTCCCCCCTCCTGCTACTGCTCCTGCTCCTCCATCCTCCTCCTCGTGTCCACCTCCTCCTCCTCCTCCTCCTCCTCCTCCACCTCCTCCTCCCCCTTCTTCTTCCGGCCATGACCCATCGACAGCCCCGAAGGTGACGAGAACGACGACGACGGCGACGCAGATGACGACGAACATGAGGATGACGCCTACAAGGAGGACCGAGCACAACGACGACGGCGACAGCGACGGCACAGATCTCGACAACGAGGAGGAGGATGAGGAGGAGGATGAGGAGGAATAGGACGATAGTGATGGCAAAGATGACTATGACGACGACGACTTCGCTTTCGTCGTCGTTGTTGTTCAGCGTGTCGTCGCCGTCCTCCTGCTCCACCAGCTCGTCCACGTGGTCCTCCTCGTGGCCATCTTCGTCGTCCTCGTGATCGTGTTCGCCGTCGCCGTCGGACAGCACAGCGGCGCCTGCGATGGCCGCCACAGCTCCATCAGGCAGCGCAGGGCCGTCACCCCCAGTGCGTGGGAGTCCATCCTGCGCCCCCTCGCCCTCCTGCTCCTGACTCCTCGACCTCCCTCCTCCTTCTCCTCCCCCTCCTCCTCCTTCTCCGCCTCCCTCCTCCTCTTCCTCCTCCTCCTCCTCCTCCTTCTCCTTCTCCTCCTCCCTCCCTCCTGCTCCCTCCCTCGCTCCCTCCCTCCCCCCCTCCCTCCCTCCCTCGCTCCCTCGCTCCCTCCCTCCCTCCCTCCCTCACTCCCTCCCTCCCTCCCTCCTCCTCCCTCCTTCCCGTTCCTCCCTCCCTCCCTCCCTCCCTCCCTCCTCCTCCTCCTCCTCCTCCTCCTCTTCTCCCTCCTCCCTCTCCTCCTCGTCCTAGTCCTCGCCTCTTCCTCCTCCTCCTTCCTCCTTCCCTCCTCCTCCTGCTCTTCGTCGTCCGTTCGTCCTCCTCCTCCTCCTATTTCTCCTTCTCCTCCTCCTCCCTCCCTCCTTCCTTCCCTCCCTCCCTCCCTCCCTCCCCCCGCGGCTCTCAGGGCCGCGCCCGAGAGGATCTCTGCAGGAGGCGGCGGGGGCCTGACGTGCCAAAAGCTTTGCCCTCCAGGGCAGAGGACACCTCGCCCTCGAGGCGAGGGGCAACGACAGGGGGGCACCGTCTCCTCCTCCCCTTCCCCCTCGTCCTCCTCCCACCACGACCATTCCTAATCCTCTCCTCATACTCCTCCTTCCTCCTACTCCTCCTCCTCCCCCCCTCGTCATCCTCTCCTCCTCTCCTCCTCCTACTCCTCCTCTCCTCTCCTCCTCCTCCACCAGGTCTATTACATCATCCTCCTCCTCCTCCTCCTCCTCCTCCTCTCCTCCTCCTACTACCCACATCACTCCTCCTCCTCCTCCTCCTCCTCCTCCTCCTCCTTCTGCGCCTGATCGTGAAGGGCAACGAAACGGGCGGACCGGCTCAGGGCCTGGAATCGGTGGTACCTCGCCGCCTGCTCGGCGACAGGCCCCCGATAACGACGCCGCCCGCTCCTGGGCGGCGTGGGCTCTCGGGACCCTATCGGCGATGACTGGGCGTTGGGGGGTCGACACGTCCCCCCCCTGAGTCTACAGTGGAGACCAGTGCACAAGAAACCTTCCACAAGAAACCCGACCCTGAGACCCCAGGACGCCCACTGATTCTTGGTGTGGGAACGTCACGCTGTCCACGACAAAACCATTGCAACCCAAGAAGCCCAGGGCACCCTGGGGGCAAGCAGGGTGTTTCTCGGCATGGGCCTCCACTGTACCCTCCGCCTGACGTTGCCCCCTGGCTCTCGGGTCATAACTCGGCGCTCGGGCGGCCGTTCGGGACGATCCGGGCACCCTCGGAGCGCCCTGGACAAAAAACACCCCGAGCCTGGAAAGCCGCCGTGAACGTCCGACCACCTCGAACCCATGTCGTTGTCCCCGACACGAGGCCGAGCCAGTCCCTACGCAGCGTGCTGCCCCCTTCCCCGGGACCGGTCTTTCATCCTGAGCCGCTCATTGGCGGTCCCTCCCCAGACCCCCGACGTCGCGAGTTTTTCGCAACGTCGAGCCCTGGAGGTCTGGACCTCTTCCCCGGGACCGGTTTTCCATCCCGAGTCGTTTTCGGACAGCCCCGGGGCCCTGCAAGGGCCCCCGGAGGCCGAAAACATCGAAAAACCTGCCGTCGTGATTCTTTCCCAACGCGAGGGGGTCTGGCTTAATTCTTCCGACGTAGACCTCTCCGTATCGGGGGAGCGTAAACATGGATTAGCGATCCATGGATTTGGAGCGCGGTCGCCAAATACATGGATCGGGGGAGGTGCCCTCCCCAAAATGCGGCTGGTGCCGCCTCGTTCGGCGGCGGGAATCCGCGATTTCCGATGGAAACGGACGGGACCCGTCGCTAATCCACGCCCCCTTGATCCATGTTTGCGATCGCCTGACCGTAGGTGCCTCCAAGCCCCTCCCCCTCCCGCGCGCCAAGATCGCGGAGCAGCGGCCGTCGTGTTCGCTTCTCACAACGCGAGGGGGTCTGGGCCTGTCCCCGGCTCTCCGTCGTCCAGGCTTTTCTGCGCGAAGGGCCCTAGGGTTGGGTCGGACATGTCCCCCTACAGGCGGGTTTTGGAAGACAGATGCAACAAACATTGCTGTTGTTGTTGTCGTCGTCGTCGTCGTCGTCGTCGTCGTCGTTGTTGTTGTTGTTGTTGTTGTTGTTGTTGTTGTTGTTGTTGTTGTTGTTGTTGTTGTTGTTGTTGATTTTGTTATTGTTGTTGCTGTTGCTGCTGCTGCTGCTGCTGCTGTTGTTGTTGTTGTTGTTGTTGTTGTTGTTGTTGTTGTTGTTGTTGTTGTTGTTGTTGTTGTTGTTGTTTTCTTTTTCTTGATATATTTATATTTATATATATATATGTAGAACTATTATGGTCTGTTCCTCCTGTAGAGGGAGGACGTGCCCGACTTAACCCTTGGGCTCTCGGCTCCGTCCCCGAGCTCCGTCCTCTCGGCGAGGCCCGCCGCGGAGCGACCCCCGGGGCCCCGAGCGGACCGCAGGGGGCCACGAGCAGGAACAGTTTGCGATCGCGCAGCGCTTTCGCGACGAGGGAGGTCTGGGAGCCTCCTCCTCCTCCTCTTCCTCCTCCTCTTCTCCTCCCTCCTCCTCCTTCTCCGCCTCCCTCCTCCTCCTCTTCCTCCTCCTCCTCCTCCTCCTCCTCCTCGGGGGCGTCAGACCCTGGAAGACTCCTTTTCTGCTGAGCGCGGCGGTGATATCCATGGCCAGTCCACGAGTGGCGTTCCACCAGCTTCCAGGCCCGGGATTCCTTATCTTATGGTCCCTCCTCCAGTGCCCTCACCGTGTTCACAGTCGGCCCACAAAGGCCCCCTCGGGGCCCATCCGGACCAGAACTTCGGGGAAGCGCCCGTCTGCGGCGACGCAGGCTTCCCCAGAGCACCCCCCCCCCACCCCGAAAACAGCAAAACCCCCCGAGATCCGACGTCTCGAAAAAAATGAGACATCGTGCAAAACCAAACCACGACTGGAACCCTGGAACCCATCTTTCTGCGCCATCTTTCGAGCCGGATCCATCTGTGAGGGTCCTGGGGCCCGAAACTCGCCAGGATCTCAGGGCCCCCAAGCGCGGGAGGCCTGGTCTGAACCTCCCCCAGACCCCCGACGCCGTGATCTTGTCGCCACACGTCCACTCCCAGAGGTTCGGGCCCCTTCCCCGGGACCGGTGTTTCCATCCTGCACTGGTCTTTGACGGGCCCCGGGTGTGGCGAAGGCCCCGGGAGGCCGAACACAGCGAAACGCCTCCCGTGGCGATGTTTCCGCAGCGGGAGGGAGGAGGAGGAGGAGGAGGACGAGGGGGAGGAGGGGAAGAGGGGGAGGAGGAGGAGGAGAGGAGGAGGAGGAGGAGGAGGAGGAGGAGGAGGAGGAGGAAGAAGAGGGGAGGAGGGGGAAGAGGGGGAGGAGGGAGGAGGAGGAGGAGGAGGAGGAGGAGGAGGAGGAGGAGGAGGTTGCCAGGTGTGGGTCAGGAGAGCCCGACGCCTCCCGCCCGGCCTGGTCTGGTACTCGCGGCGCAGCTCCGGGCTGCGGCACAGCTCCTGGGCGCCCGCGGGGGCGCCGTGCCCCAGGGGGCGAGCCCGCGGGGGGAGGGGCGAGGAGGGGATGGACAAGCGAAGGAGGGGGGGGGAGGGGGGAGGGAGGGAGGGAGGGAGGGAGAAGGATGAGGGAGGAGGACGCGATGATGACGATGATGATGATGATGATGATGATGATGATGATGATGATGATGATGATGATGATGATGATGATGATGATGCTGATGATCATGCTGATGATGCTGATGATGATGATGATGATGCGGATAATGATGATGATGATGATGCTGATCGTGTTCGTGGTGAAGATGATGGCGAAGACAATATGATGATGTCGATGATGACGATGACGCTGATGCTGCTGCTGCTGAGGATGTTGCTATTGATAATGATGATGATGATGATGATGATGAAGATGAGTAGGATCATGAACATAAAGATGATGATGCTGATCATGATGATGATGCTGATGATTGCGATGATGCTCATGATGATAATGCTGATGATGATGATGATGGTGCTGCTGCTGATGTTGTTGATGATGATGCTTAGGATGAGAAGGAAGAGGAGGAGGAGAGGGCAATACACAGAAAACATAAACGAAGGCACAACAACAAATGACAAACCGTGACTCGCACGTGCGCAGACCGCGGTTGGTGCGCGCACAGTTCACCCGCACGAGCAACAAGGGGCGACGAGGGATCGGGAAGGGACATATCAACACGTACGCATCCTGCGGGAGCAGACGAGCCAGTCCAGATACGGCAAACAAAACGCTGCAACATGTTGCAAACATATATATATATATATATATACATATATATATATGTATGTATATATATATATATATATATGTGTATATATATAAAAATAAATACTAGAACCATCGCGCGTGCTTCGCGCGCGCTCAGGTTCTAGCCCAGGCCGGGGGCGCGCTAGAAGATCTTGGACAGCGCTATCAAGCACAAGCGCGTGAGGCTTGAGGCCACATTGGGGCAATCCTGAAGCCTCCCGGGGCCTCCTTGAAGAAATTTTGATGCATCGAGAACACTGTTCGGCTATCTTGGGGTCCCGTGTACGTTTCCTGTGAGCCTTTTGAGGCCTGGTGGGGGGCTTTGGGGGGCCTCGTCGGACCACTTGGGGACTCTTGGTGCCTCCTGTGGGCCTAGGGCATAAAGCTCTGCTGTTGGGTTCGCGTTCTCCTTCTTGGGGCTCTCTTGGGGCCCTCTCGGGCCGTCTTGGGCGCCTCGGGCACCGTCTTGGGGCCCTCGTGGGCCGTCTTGGGGCCCTCTTTTTTTTGGATTGCGCATTTGGCAGAATCTGCTCGAACGAAGCCAGCTTATGCAAGAAGGCGTGCATTGCAAGGCCGAGCTCTTATTGCCCGAAGAGCGTTTGACATGTTCAGGTAAAGCCTCCTTGATCGAGCTACTATTACAAACATCCCAACCATGGCCACAATATTCACTGCGATTACTACCTTGTGCACCAGGTTGAAGCACTGGGCTCCTAGACAATCGGCTTGGCCAACCCGCGTATGCGATTGCTCACCTTTGGCCGCGACAATTCGAACAAAAACCAGCGTGCCAATAAACGAGCAACCGTCATAGAACATATAATTCGTAGCGAGATTCGCACTGCCAAACAACTCTGATGTCAAAACGACCATGTGGGGATATGCTGAACCGAAAGCCAGGCCGCCCAAAATCGTCGCCGCAGCGACCAATTTCAAGGACACGCCATGGTAAGGAAGCAATATCAACAGAAAATGCGCAGCTGCCATTTCCGCTATGACGACCAACATGTAAGACGGGCGAGGGATGCCATTGCGCACCAGAAAGTTGCTCGGCACCATGCATGTTAGACGACCAAGCATGTTACAACTCGAGTAAAGCGAGTTCCCGAGAACTAGCGCATCATTGGAGGCAATGCCTGCCGCAGTCAAAATCTGCGACATGCTTGACATTATCACGCTACCCCCTCCGAGAACAGCTGAAACTGCGAACAAGAAGATCCAGGCATCAACCGTAGCGATCATCTCTGAGAAACTCTTCGACTCAGCCTCGAATCCGACGTCTTCTGCACCCACCGCAGCACCACGCTCTCCTCTGCACGCCCACGCGACCAAGAGAAAAAAGGGACACACCAGCAGGGCTAGCAACACGACCCCAAGGAGCTGCTTGACCCATGCCTGATCCGACGAGAAGACCTGCTGCACGGACACGGCGACGGTACACACGCCCCAGCCGAGCAGCAGCCACCAGAGCAGACTCAGCCTGGGCGCAGACTCCCTCGAGGGATCTGGACGCGCCTCCCTTGGGACCAGAGACGCCGCGAGCCCGCAGCAGATCGCAGCGACACCGGCCCAGATCAAAATCGCGCTGAGAGCAGCTGGGCTCCTCTTGTCGACACCAGGGAACATCAGGTAGAACAGCTGCGCCACGGCCGCGCCGGAGAGGCCCACGAAAGACTTGACGAGCCCGACGGCCTCTCCACGGCGCAGCTGGTAGTGCTGGACGGGAAGCGTCGCGTAGCACGCAGTGACGAGGCCCGTACCTAGCGAGGTCATGGCTGTGCAAATCACGATCATGATCATGGCTGATGTTGGTGATGCCGCAATCTTGAACTTGGCGATGACGTAGACCAAAATCTGCATCGTGGTTATGATCATGCCGCCGGTAGCAAAAGACCGCTGTGGCCCCATGCGTTGCGCCAACCTTCCCACTAGAGGCCCCAAGAAACCAATAAAGGACGGCGCAACGGCGATATTCAACAGGTCTCCGTCGCTCAAGCCCAGCTGTACTTTCAAACTTTCGCTATACAGCGAAAATCCGTAATACATGCCTGTTGGCGCTCCTGCGTACAAACATGCAATAAGCGCACTCTCTTTGGGAACACGTGTATTGAAAGACCGCGCCATTGCATCCTTCGAGCTCTGGCAAGCAGAGATGGACACGGGCTGCCGCAAGCATACCGAACACAATCAGCTTGAGATCAAATGGCTTGAGCCAAAATGGCTACGGACCGTCTTGGGGCCCTCTTGGAGGCCTCTTCGGCTATCTTGGAGCGGTCTTGGGGGCCACTTGGGCCGTCTTGGAGCGTCGCGATGCCAAAAGGCTGGGAACTCTAAAATCCATCAAAAGCCGATGGGAAAACAATGCTTCTTGGAACCTCTTCGGCCTTCTGGGGAGCTTCTTGAGGGCCTCTTGGGTCCCATTTGGGGGCCTCTCGGGCTTCCTGAGAGCCTCTCAGGCTCGGATTTTCGGTTCCTCTTACCCATCCTGGGCCCCTGCACTTTTTTCAAGACATGCGGACTTCTGTGGCCCCGTACGCGGCTGCACTGGCAAGCGGGGACATCAGCATCCTTGGCTCGAGGCGGTCTCGAGTCTTCGCCTTGTCTCCTGGATCTGGCACCGCCCCAATTCGCATTGCCCCCGTTTCTGGGGCCCTGAGATGCGAGGAGGAGGAGGAGGAGGAGGAGGAGGAGGAGGAGGAGGAGGAGGAGGAGGAGGAGGAGGAGGAGGAGGAGGAGAAGAGGAGAAGGAGGAGGAGGAGGAGGAGGAGGAGCCTCCTCCCTCCTGTGCGTTGGCCCCCGGATCACCAGCTCAGGCAGCAAGCTGCCGCCTGGGACGACTCTGGCCTCCCCAGAAGGCCCTCGACGGAGCGCAGCCGACGGAAAACACGCCGCCCCTCCACCCCCACCGTGATGCTCGTCCTTCCCCTCCTCCTCCCCATCCTCCTCCTCCCCCTCCTCCTCTTCCTCCTCCCCCTCCTCCTCCTCCTCCTCCTCTTCCCCCTCCTCCTCCTCCTCCCCTCCTCTCTCTCCTCGTCCTCGTCCTCCGTCCTCCTCCCTCCTCCTCCTCCTCCTCCTCCTCCTCCTCCTCCTCCTCCCCCTCCCTCCCGCCGTGATATTCTCACGACGACGACGACGAACGACGACGACGACGACGACGACGACGACGACGACGACGACGACGACGCGACGACGACGACGACGACGACGACGACGACGACGGACGACGGACGACGGACGACGGACGACGGACGACGGACGACGGACGACGGACGACGACGACGGAGGACAGATGACAGAGGACGGAGGACGGAGGACGGAGGACGCAGGACGGAGGACGGAGGACGGAGGACGGAGGACGGAGGACGGAGGACGGAGGACGCAGGACGGAGGACGGAGGACGGAGGACGGAGGACGGAGGACGGAGGACGGAGGACGGAGGACGGAGGACGACGACGACGACGTCACGACGACGACGACATCGACGACAACGACGACGTCGACGACGACGACAACATGGGTTCTGCAAATCTCTCGCCATCGCTCGGACGTCCCTTCTGTGGTCACTTTTCGACATCGTGCGTATATTTTCAGAGGATGGCCCAACAGGCTCCTCGAGGGTTTTTGCCGAGAAAGGATGCACACGTCCGAGCGATGCCAAGACCTTCGGGGGCCTCCAAAAGCCTAGAAGCCTCCGAAAACCTGCGATAGGCTCACTCGTGACCTCGCACCAGGGGCCGTGTGTGTGTGTGTGTGTGTGTGTGTGTGTGTGTGTGTTTGTGTGTGTGTGTGCTGCGCAGTTTCCGGATTTCGAAAACCAGCAGCCCCCAATTATTGTACTTAACAATTCTAAGATCCAAGACTCTTAAGACTGATGTGTGGGGCGCTCAAGCGAAAACCATATGCTGGAAACGAGGAGGAGTGGGCGGAAGACGAGGACCCCCCTGCAGGATCTCTCTAGGAGGCCTCCGAAGTGTGAAGCGACTTCATCCCTCTTCTAGTCGTCTTGTCCATCCTTCTCTTCTCTCTCTCCATCTTTCTCGTGTTTTTTTTTTTTTTTGTCCCCCCCCCCCCGATGAAGACACAGCAGCTGAGGGCCCCTTAAACGCGACCCGGGGGCGAGGAGCCACCCAGACTCTCGGCGACAGCCGAACGCCTTATGTGCTGCCTTTCACTTCTCACGACCGCTGCCGTTGAGGGCCCTTGGAGCCGCTCGCCGCACGCCCCGCGGAGAGAGCGAGCGTCCGGCCCTCCTGGAGAGCCCTGCCGGGCATCCCGTCTCCCTGGAGCTCTCGCGCCTGGAGGGCGTTCGTTTGAGACATCCTCACGACCCAAACCTGGCCCTCCTCCTCCTCCTCCTCCTCCTCCTCCTCCTCCTCCTCCTCCTCCTCCTCCTCCTCAGGGGGCCAGAAAGGGCCCAGCGCGCCCCAAACCTGGATCCTCGAGGATCCCGGCGAAGACGACCGCGGGCGAAGACGACCGCGGGCGAAGACGACCTGCCTCGGAGAGAGCCGCGGGCGCGCACGCGAGGAAGTCGAGCCCTGGGCCCCAGGGGCCGTCCCGCGGGCCCAGCTCTGCCTCCCCGGTCGTACCCGGGGCCCGCGGACGGCCAACGGCCGCGAGAAATCTCCCACTTCGAGCGGACGCTCGCCGCGGGGCAGCGGAACCTATCCTCCGCCTCCCCTCTGCCTCCTCCCTCCTCCTCCTCCTCCTCCTCTCCCTTCTTCCTCCCCCTCCTCCTCCTCCTCCTTCTTCTTCTTCTTCTTCTTCTCCTCCTCCTCCTCCTCCTCCTCCTCCTCCTCCTCTCCTTCTTCCTCCTCCTCCTCCTCCTTCTCCTCCTCCTCCTCCTCCTCCTCCTCCTCCTCTCCCTTCCTCCTCCTCCTCCTCCTTCTCCTGGTCAGGACCCCCAGAGGTTCGGTGTCTTGATTTTGTCCACACGGGGGCTCCGGAAGTCCTTGGCCCTTTCCCCAGGGCCGGCTTGTCATCCCGAATTGTCTTCTGACGACTCCGAGGCCAGACGAGGGGCCCCAGAGGCAGAACATCGTGGAAAACCGTCGCCGTGATCTGTACAATACGCTGGACGTCAGGGCCCGCAACTCAGAGGCAGAAAATAATGGGAAATCGTCGCCTTGCTTTTCCAATACGTTAGACGTTAGGGTCCGTTCCCCAGAGGTAGAAAAACGTTGAACACCGTTGCCTTGTTTTTTCAATACGTTGGACGTCAGGGCCCCCTCCCCAGGGGTAGAAAAACGTTGGAAACCGTTGCCTCGACTGTTGCAGTACCTTGGGCGTCAGGGCCCCCTCCCCAGAGGCAGAACATCCTGGAACATCGTGGCCTTGATATCTGTAGATACGTTGGACTTTAGGGCCGGCTCCCCAGAAGCAGAAAATCGTGGAACACCGTCGCCTTGAGATTTCCAAACCATCTTGTGGTGTTGGGTCATCGTTTTGAAGAGACGTCGCCCCGCGTTCCTTCTCCTTCCTTCCTTCCTTCCTTCTTCCTCCCCCTCCTCCTCCTCCTCCTCCTCCTCCTCCTCCTCCTGCTCCTCCTCTTCCCCATCTTCCTCCTCCTCCTCCTCCTCCTTCTCCTCCCCTCAGCCTCCTCCTCCATCATCATCTTCATCACCCATTTCAGCACACCCCTCACACGTTTCGTGGCCCCATAGGGGGCCCCACCGAAGGTCCCAGTGCTACCGCCCGCATGCGTCCCCCACACCGAGTACAGCGTTTCGTGGCCCTCCTCCCCCTCCTCCCTGCGTTTCACCCATCCAGTACAGCGTTTCGTGGCCCCATAAGGAGCCCCACCGAAGTTCCCAGTGCTACCGTCCGCATGACAACTGCATATGGTTGGGTCCTTCGCCAGGGTAATTTTCGATACGTTGAACTTCAGGGCCCGCTCCCCAGAAACAGAAAATCGTGGAACACCGTCGCCTGGATATTTCCCAACCATCCTGTGGTGTTGGGTCCTCGTTTTGAAGAGACATCGTCCCGCATTCCTCCTCCTTCCTTCCTTCCTCCCTCCTCCACCTCCTCCTCCTCCTCCTCCATCATCATCGTCATCACCCGTTTCAGCACACCCCTCACACGTTTCGTGGCCCCATAAAGGGGGCCCCACCGAAGGTCCCAGTGCTATCGCCCGCGTGGGTCCCCGACCCCACCCGGTACGGCGTTTCGTGGCCCCACAGGGAGCTCCACCGAAGGTCCCAATGCTACCGTCCGCATGCGTCCCCCCCACCCAGCACAGCGTTTTTTTTGCCCGATAGGGAGTTCCACCGACGGCCCCAGTGCTACCGCCCGCATGCGTCCCCCCCCGCCCAGTACAGCGCTTCGTGGCCCCATAGGGAGCTCCACCGAAGGTCCCAGTGCTACCGCCCGCATGCGTCCCCATTGCTTATTACAGCGTTTCGTGGCCCCATAGGGAGCTCCACCGAAGGTCCCAGTGCTACCGCCCGTATGCGTCCCCCCACCCAATGCAGCGCTTCGTGGCCCCATATTGAGCTCCACCGACGGCCCCAGTGCTACCGCCTGCATGCGTCCCCAACCCAATACAACGTTTCGTGGTGGCCTCATACGGAGCTCCACCGACGGCCCCAGTGCTGCCGCCCGCATGCGCCCCCTCACATAGTACAGTTTTCCGTGGCCCCGTAGGGAGCTCCACCGAAGGTCCCAGCGCTACCGCCCGCATGCGTCCCCCACACCCAGTACAGCGTTTCGTGGCCCCATAGGGAGCTCCACCCAAGGTCCCAATGCTGTCGCACGCATGCGCCCCCCCACCCAATACAGCGCTTCGTGGCCCCATATGGAGCTCCACCGAAGGTCCCAGTGCTACCGCTCGCATGCCCCCCCCAAACAGTACAGCGTTTCGTGGCCCCATAGGGAGCTCCACCGAAGGTCTCAGTGTTACCGCCCGAATGAGTCCCCCCACCAAGTACAGCGCGTCGTGGCCTCATACGGAGCTCCACTGACGGAGACAATGCTACCGCCAGCATGCATTCCCCCCCACCCGGTGCAGCGCTTCGTGGCCCCATAGGGAGCTCCACCGAAGAAGATATTCACTATTGCGGTACCCACAACTGCATATGGTTGGGTCCTTCGCCGAGAGAATTTTCAATACGTTGGGCGTCAGGGCCCGCTCCCCACAGGCAGAACATCGTGGAACACCGTCGCCTTGATATTTTTCCGATACGTTGGGCTTCAGGGCCCGTTCTCCCAGAGGCAGAACATCGTGGAACACCATCGCCTTTGATTTTTGTTCGATGCGCTGGGCGTCAGGGCCCGCCCGTCGGGGAGCGGCGGGCGGGTCGGCGGCCGGGAGGGGGGGTCCTCCCTGCCGCGCGAGAAGGCGAGCCAGGCGGAGGAGGGCCAGTAGCGGCCGTCGCCTTCCCGGGGGGGCCGGGGGCAGGCGAAGATGATGACGATGATGCTGCTGATGATGATACTGCTGATGTGCATGGCGTTGATGATAATCATGACGATGATGATGATGCTGATGCTGCAGCTGCTGATGATGATGGTGATGTGCGTGGTGTTGATGGTGATGCTGGTGATGATGATGCTGCTGGTGATGGTGATGATGATGATGATGATGATGATGATGATGATGATGATGATGATGATGACGATGATGATGATGATGATGATGATGATGATGAGGATCATGATCATGCTGCTGATGATGACGATGCTGGTGATGCTGAAGATGACGACGTTGCCGATGACGGTGATGATAATGTTGCTGTTGCTGATGATGTTGTTAATGTTGTTGTTGATGATGCTGATGATGATGATGATGCGCCCGCAAGGGCTGGCGCGCGGCGCGGGCGGCTTCGGACAAGGATCCCTGGTGTAGCGCTGATCAACTGGATGATGATGATGAGGAGGAGGAGGATGCGGAGGAGGAGCAGGAAGAGGAAAAAGAGGTTGAGGAGGTTGAGGAGGTTGAGGAAGAGGAGGAGGAGGAGGAGGACCAGAGTAAGCCCAAAACAGATCAACGATGTTGGGATAAACCATCTCTCCAAGCTTCCTCTTCATAGGCCCCCCACGAAGGCTCAGTTCGACTGAGTGAAGAGCCACATTAGGGGACAATCGTTTGAGAATCCTGAAGCGTGCCAAAACACCACTTCTGGGACTCCAACGCCACGAAGCAATATGACTGTTGCGCCTTGACGATCCTGAATCTGGCCAAAGCACCATTTCTGGGACTTCAACACCGCGAGTCAGGTAACTGTTGCGCCCTGACAGTCCTAACTCGTTCCCAAACACCATGCCTGGTACGTTGACCAATGCCATGGGAATCCGTGAAACTCTTGCAACTGTTTGGGACGAGTGGGCGCGGCGCCCAAGCGAGAACCACATTTGAAGAGGAACCTCCCTGAATCCGTGAAGCTCTTGCACATTTTTAAAACGATATTGCGCGGCGCTAAAGCGAGAATCACATTTTGAAAACGGCTCGCCCTCACTCCGTGAAGCTCTTCCAAATCCTTAAAGACAACTGTGCGCGGCGCTAAGGTAAGAGCCACATGTAAAAAGAAACGCCCGCCTTCCATCAATGAAACTGTTGCCAAATTCTGAGCATCAAGCGAAACGCCCGGCCCGCCCTTCCGACTGGCTTCGGGGTGCGACTGGGAGGAGTTACTTATAAGGAATGGAGGATGAGGAAGAGGTGGAGGAGGAGGAGAAGGAGGAGCAGAACAAGCAGCACCAGAAGCAGTGGCAGGAGGAGCGGGGGCGACAACGACCAGGAAAGGCTCGGAACCAGAAATGTGGCCCGCGGTGGGGCGAGAGCGCCGCTCTGTACGACGGGAGCAAAGCGCCCGTCCTGAAATGAGGCCAACGCTGCAGCGGGGACATCACTTGGGGAGCAAGAGCGAAGACGTTCCGATCAAAACAATATCAACTATCTTAGTTCGAGATCTTTTGCACTACAAAACATTATACGGGAGAAAAGGACCCCGTTCGGCGGAGGAAGAGGACAGAGGTGGAGCAGTTGGAGGTGGAGGAGGACAAGGACGAGGACGCGGACGAGGATGAGGATGCGGATGATGATGCTGCTGCTGATGATTATGATGCTGCTGATGCTGACGATGAGGAGGAGCAGGAGGAGGATGAAGTATGAGACCCTCCCCCTCGTCGTTGGGTGCGCAAGCGTTGGGGTTGCGCGCGAGCCGCCTGCGAGGTTGACGCTGCCGTCGCAGGTGCTCGCCTGCCACTGCCCGGCGTCCACCTGGCCCCAGGAGGGTGGAGGGACAGCCGACCGAATAAGGTCCTGCAGGGTGGTCACGAGCCAGTCGGACGATTAGCTGCGAGCGCTGCGCATGGGCGCGCAGCCTGGCCATTGGCACCGTGAGCAGCGATAAACGCGGGCTGCTTCTAGCTGGCTGCGGCCTTTGGGGGCCCCTCACGTGGCCCAGGGGGCCGCCAATCGGGTCCGCCCAAGAGGGGGGCCAGGAAGAGGGAGGGGTACGCATCATGGCCCGAGGCATGTGCGCGGACGATGAAGGGACGTATCGAGAGAAAAAGAGGGAGCCATGAAATCTATTGAGATTTCATGGCCCCAGCTATGATCCCAGTTTTGGAAGCTCCTGCCCAGACCCCCGATGCCATGTTCTTTTTCGCAGCGTCGACACCCAGAGGTCTGGACTCCTTCCCTGGGACCTCGGCCTCCTCCTCCTCCTCGGCCTCCTCCTCCTGCTCCTCCTCCTCCTCCTGCTCCTCCTTCTCCTCCTCCTCCTCCTCCTCCTCCTCCTCGGCCTCCTGTTTTTCATCCTGAGTCGTTTTTCATGGCACCAGGGCCTGGTCAGGGCCCCTGAAGGCCGAAGAGATAGCAGAAAACCTCCCGTCGTGATTCTGTTACCGCGCGAGAGGGTCTGGATTCAGGGCCGGCTCGGGAGAAAGAGCAGGCCTCCGAGGAAGGGGGGGGCGTCGGGGTCTCCGAGGGGGGGGCGCCCACTGGCAAATGGAGCGCCACGGCGCAAGAGCTCTGTGGGGGGGAGGTGGGAGGATGGCGGAGGGGAGGGGGAAGGGCGAGGATGAAGGGCGAGAAGGAGGAGGGGGAGGAGGAGGAGGAGGAGGAGGAGGAGGAGGAGGAAGGGAGGAGGAGGAGGGGGAGAAGGAGAAGGAGAATGATGGGGACGAGGAGGAGGAGGAGCGGAGGAAGGGGAATGGCGAGCAGTAGAAGGATGAGCAGGAGGAGGATGAGAAGGATGAGGAGGAGGACGGGGTGGAGGAGGAAGAGGAGGATGACTGGACCAGACTGGACCTCTGGGGTCATCGTCATCGTCATCATCATCATCATCGATATTGTCATCGTCATCGTCACCAGTATCATAATCATCATCATCATCATCATCATCATCATCATCATCATCATGACCATCACCATCATCATCATCATCACCATCACCGTCACCATCACCCTCCTCCTGCTCCTCCTCCTCACCATCACCATCACCATCACCATCACCATCGTCATCGTCATCGTCATCATCATCATCAACACCATCATCATCACCACCACCATCATCATCACTACAATCATCATCACCATTATCATCACCATCATCACCACCATTATCATTATCATCGTCAGCACCATCAGCATCATGATCATGCTCATGATCATGCTCGCGATCATGATCATGATGATGATGATGATGATCATCATCATCATCGTCATCGCCATCGTCATCGTCATCGTCGTCATCATCATCATCATCATCATCATCATCATCATCAGCATCAGCATCAGCATCAGCATCAGCATCAGCATCAGCATCAACATCAGCCTCATCGTCATCGTCATCGTCAACCTCGTCGTCGTCGTCGTCGTCGTCGTCGTCGTCGTCGTCGTCGTCGTCGTCGTCGTCAGCGTCATCGCGGCGGCACTGGCGGGTGCCGCACCGCCAGGCCGAAGTCCACGAGCGAGAACTGGTACCCCTCGCAGTCGGCCTCCACCTGCGAGGAGCTCGAGGGAGGAGGGAGGAGGGAGGAGGGCCCTCGAGGCTCCGAGGGTCGAGGCGGTCTCCCGACGCCCGTGTGGCCCGCGTCGGGCCCCCCAAGAGGCCTCTCTGGGAGCCCCCGGAGGCCTTCGGGGGGAGAGGCCCTCGGACGCCTCTGGCCCTCGACCCTCCCAGGCATCCGTCCTGATGGGCGAGCGAGCGAGCGAGCGCGCGATGACGGTCCAGCGGGGCCGGCCCTAGGAGGGCGGCGCGGGGGGGGCACTAGCCGGAGCCCTCACTGGTCGGCCTGGGAGTGGCGGTCGATCTGGATGAGAGTGGTGTGAAACGTCGAATTTTTTTTTGGACGCCTGGCGTATGCTGCAGTCCCGCCCCCCTGGACGCTGTCGTGAGCCGCCTGATCCGCGGCCCTGCGCGCGTTAGGTAATTTAGTCGCGTCCGAGGAGACGCCAGATGGAAAAAAAAACACGTCGTCGGATCTCTGGGCCGTGACCCTCGAGGGTCCGCCGGGGGGGAGGCCGTCGGACGCTTTGTGGCCCAGGAGGGGCCTCCGGGGAGCAGGGGTCCAGGGCGGCAGCAGGGCTTGCCAGCGGAGGCCTCCTCCTCCCGCATCTCCTCCCGCCGTCCTCTCCTCTCGCGGCGTTGCGCCGAGGGTGGCAGTCAGAAGGCTGGGTAGTCGAAGCCAATCTGGCGCCAATCTGGCAGGCCCAATCTGGCAAACGGGGGCAATCTGGCGAGGGAGCCAACGCGAATCCAGTCTGGCGAATAACCCAAATCATCCAGTTTGGCCGGGCCAGATTGGCCCTTGGGGCCCAATCCAATCTGACAGTCTGGCCTTCGACTACCCAAGAAGGGGTATAGGCCTCCTTCGAGTAGGAGATCGACTACATTGGTCTTCCCGCAGAGCTGAATTCGTGGTCGAACCCACCAGGAAAAAAAGGTAGACTGTTCGTAGATGTTCGGTGACATCTTCTTGTAGTCAGTGTTCGATGATGTGGTCGATCTCCTACTCGCCTCCTCAGAAGGCGGCGCACCAATACCACCAGCTTAGCTACCCCTCCAATCACATTGCACCGCGTCACTTTGGAGCCAACACCCTTAATTCTGATAACACTTTCCGTTACCATCAGCATGCGCTCGCTTTCACATGAGCCTGTATCCAATGGCAGCCACTGCGTAGCATCGCACAGCAAAGCGTACCACGCATCATTGGCATTCATGCATTGTACCACGTCGCAACATCGCATATACAACTCGGACCATAGCACATCGTTTCCTCCGAATCTGAAGTGTCCGGCCATAACACAACAAACTGCACAGTGTAGCATGGCACAGCACAGCATATCATCGCCCAGTGACGCGATCGCCTAGAGCATCCTTGCCATGAAGGACGCGCTGGTTCACTGTCCGTGGTGGCCACGCTAGAGGTCTGGGGGAGAGGGGCGGGAGGGGGGAGTGAAGAGACCAAACTCGACGATCTTCCTGTGCTTTCTGCTTCTCACGGTTTTTGCCTCCCAGAGGCGTCACCGCCTGTCTGCTGCCCTCAATACTGCGCGCATCTTGCGAGTGACCCACGATGTCGTGCCCGCACCACCCACAGAGTCGCTTCGAAATTGCACCCTCACAACGTTGAGCGCTCGAAATGGGTACGGGAAACATGTGGAACGATGCCCCAAAGCGAATGTCGCCCAAAAGCGACAGCCAACCCTGCTGGGCAGGCGAGATGCCGCCTCACGTGGTCAACGCCCGCGGCGACACCGACGGCGAGTCCTGCTCGACATGCGCAGGATCCGCTGTCGGTCTTTGTGCCCATTCTTTTCGTGCTCATGTCGACCGTACCGAACAACAAGGAGCCGAAGACCGATGCCGTTTCTCCAACATCGTTGTCCAGAACTTCGTTGCCATGCCATGAAGCGCATGATTGCGAACACACCGCCGCATTATCTGCTGCAGAGGCGCATGCATGCATGCTTGTTTCCGTGGCCGCCGAGGCACGCATCCAGACGTCATCTGGCACGTCCTAGAGCCAGGGAGACGAGCAAAAACTGCGCAATCACAGCTCGAGGGCTCTTTGGTTTCATCGTGCTGTCAGGCGCCGCTCCCCCCACCAGGATGTTGCGGGTCGTCACGTCGCGGTGGTACCTCAGCGGCCCCGCCCGCCCCGCTGTCGTGCGAGCAGGCGGGCGCTCAAGCGCGGGACCGCCTCGCCGCGCGCAGGATCTCCAGGCCCTTACCCGAGCGGTCTCGAGCCATCGCGGACACGCGGAGCATCCTAACAAGCCCGCTCCGAGCAGGCGAGGTGGCGGATTCTCGGCCCCAAAGGCGGAGGAGGAGGAGGAGGCGGAGGAGGAGGAGGAGGAGGAGGAGGAGGAGGAGGAGGAGGAGGAGAGTTTTTTTCGGACTTCTGGGCTCAGACTGAGCCTCCACCCGCGGAGCAGGCCCCCCCCCCGATCGGCCGTGGACAATCGCCGCAGCTGCTCCTGGGAAGTACAGGGGGCCCCAGTCTGAGAGGGGAGCGATTGGGGGTGACTGGCTCAGGGGGGAGCTGGAATCGGCGATGCGTCGCCGAGGGATCGGCGAGATGTCCCCGATAGCGAATCCGAACATTCCTGGGCGAGGTGGGTCACATAAGCTGTCGGGCCTCTGTCGGCGATGAATGGGCGATTTGGCGCCAACGCGTCCCCACTGAGCCTGTCATTTTTTTTGTGGGCTCCCCTGTTTCGCCCCTCTCGCCCCTCGCCGTCCAAGGGTGGCCAGTCCGCCGCCGCTCCCGCGGCAGGGGACGCCAAGGCTGCATTGTGGGCGCCTGCCGGCTGCTGTCGAAAGGGTTGGCCCACCTTGTGGCTGGGGGGTGGGCACGGCCCGCGTTATGTAGAACACTTTTTTCTGGGTAACGCCCTCGATCAGGCTGCCTTAAGAATACATTCAGTCGCCCTCAATCGAAGATCCGTGGTCGCATCTAAACCTCTCAACTCCGTCTCAAGAGCGCTCTTGGCCTGCCCATCATAGTGATGCAGAGATTCAGCTGCTCGTGTTTCGTGCTCGTGTGTACCAGCATCTGCACTCCGAAGACCGCCCCCATCTCTCCGAAGGCCCCTCCAACTCATTCGTCGGGGGCGGCCAAGAGGGGGGGGCTTCCAAGAGGAGGGGCGCAAATCATAGCTGGCGGCATGTGCGCCCCAAGAGGCGGCCGGGGACGTATCGAAATAAGAAGAGGCGCCATGAAATCAGAGGGGATATCACACCCCCCGCCAAGTCGCGCAAATGCGGTGTGGGCATTTTTTAGGCTCGTCGCAGGCGCAAGGGCGCTCTTGTCAAGTTCGAACATGCATGGCGCGGGTGGGACACCCAGGGGCGAGCCACTCAAGGCCCTGGCTCGCCCTTCTGGGGGCCCCCGACCCCGCGCGCTGCAGCCGCGCGCTCGCCGCGGGCCTCGCGGCCGCGGTCCCGCGCCGCCTCTGGGGGCCCAAAGCCGTGGGCCCTGGCGACGCTCTCCAGTGGCGGCAGGATCTGCGAAGCGCCGCAGCCCAGGCGCTGGCGCGCCGACGCTCCCGCGCCTGGCCCAGGCCCAACACCAGCGGGCTCGGGCGCCTGGGGCCTGCCAGAGCCCCCGCTGGCCGCACCTGGGTGAACCTCCTGCTCGGCCCACTCTGCGACGCCGAGCTTCGCCGCCCAGCGCTCCCTCGTGGCCGCCGAGGGTGGCGCCAGCTCGCCGATGGCCTCCTTGGTCCCAGGCTGTAGCCTCTTGCCCAGATCGTGCCGCGTCTGGGCCCTTGAGCCAGTCCTGAACCGCTACCCGGCCCCGCAGCGCTCATCACGAAGACCCTTCCAGGCCATCCTGGGGGCACGGGCGTACATGTAGCACGCCGTGCAGACGAGAAAGGGCTCGGCGGCCTTGCTGAGCACTTGTTTTTTTTTGTGAGCTGATGCCCGTGGACCGCCCGCGTTCTCCCGCAGCTGCCCTCGGGCGCAGGCGGCGCCGCCGCCGCCGCGCGCTGCGGTTCCTGGCTCGCCGCAGTCCGGGCCTCAGGCCCTGCCGCCGCTTTGGCCTGGGCCCGCTCCAGCTGCAGCCTGCGAGCGACGCGGCGCATGGCATCGCCGACCGACTCGCCCGCTGGCGCCGGCTGGTCAGCAGGCGCGCTGGCCAGCGGGGCCGCCGCAGGCCTTTTGCGGGGCGCCGCCCCTCGGCCGCCTCCTTGGCCCGAGCTCTGGGAAGGAGGGCACCTGCCCCTTCCTCTCGGGCCCGACGAGGGGCAGGCAGCGCCGGGGGCCGAGCTGGAGGCCGCTGCCGCCGCCAGCGCCGCGGCCCCCGCAGCCGCCAGCCCAGCGCCGCCACCCGCCGTGCTCGCCTCCGCCTCCTCGGTCTGTGACGCGCCGAGGTCGCCGAGGTCGACGTCGTCCAGCGCCCCCAGTCGGCCGGCAATCGCGGAAGCCCTGCTCCGTGATGTAGACCTCGATCTCCGCCGCAAAGCTGGCCGCCTCACGAGCTCTTTCCAGCAGGCCCTCCAGTGCCAAGACGTCCTCGTCCGATGCCGCCTGCAGAGCTGCGCCCTCCTTGGCCCGCCTGTCGGCGATTCTGTAGCCGTCCCGCTCCAGTGCAGTGATCGCGCCCGTGTGGGCCGCCTCCTGCGAGGAGTGGGCAGGGATGTGCTTCGCCGCGATCCCTTCGGCCGCGTCGCCCACCCTGGCCCGCGGATGGGCGTGCAGCGAGGTTGGTCCCTGCGCCCGGGGGAAGTTCCTGATGCAGTCCACCGTGCCTTCGCAGTCGCTGAGGAGGGCGCAGCGGCCCAGGATCTGCGTGAACGCAAGGGCCGCAGCATAGTCCTCGCCCGCCCTCGCAGACTGGTTGGGCAGCAGTTCTGGCGGGGCCGCACCCCAGGCTTGTGCCAGCACCTGGCCGCCTCCAGAGATCACGATGACGGACCAGCCCGCGCTGCGCAGCGAGGCGGGCCTCCCGTGTATGCAGGGGCCGTCCGTGAATGCCAGCGTGCCGTCGAGCGCAACCATGGGCCCCCCCCCCAGCCAGCGCGTCGCCACTCCCAGTTCGGCTGCCAGCGCGGCCTCCTCAGCAGCGCCGATGCGTCCACGAACAGCCCCTGGGCGAAGAGCTCGTCGAACTGCGGCCCCATGCCGTTGGCCTCCTCCACCGCCGCCTTGAGCCCGGGCGGCAGCGTGTCACGGCGCCGAGCCTGCCGAGCGGGGTACTCGAAGTGGCGGTGGTAGACCGTCCCCTCGGCAGCCTGGCACAGCAAACGCAGCGGGCTGATGCCAGCCTTGTGCCTGGGGAGCCGCGCCTGCGGCCAGTGAGCCAGCGAAGCCAGCCAGCGCAAGCAGCCCTTGTGGTGGCTAATCCAAGTCTCGGAGGATGCGCGACCCAGAAGCTCGTTGACGGGCCTCCAAACAAGCGGCAGCCTCCAAGGCCAGAGAGACCCAGGGTGGGCTCTGGCCTCCTCAGGGGCCGCCGCCATCCTCGTGGCCTCTCGGGCCAGCTCCGCCAGGAATGTGGGCGCGGCGATGCTGACCTCGAACTCGAGACCCAGCTCATCCTGGATGCGAGCACCTCCTGTCGTCAGCTGCCATCCAACGCGCTGCAGGGTGAGCACCAGCGCCGCAGTAGGGTCACGCACAGCCGACGAGGGCCGCTGGCAACGCTGGAGCTTCCCCACGTCCGCCAAGCAGGCCTGCGCAGCAGCCGGCCAAGCCTGGCGCGCCCAGGTCGCGCCGCAGTAGGACTGGGCCGCCAACCCAGTCGCGATAACCAGGGGGTCCTGTCTCCAGCCCCTCAGAGCGCACTGCGGCGCAAAGCTCAGCGCGGCGCCAGGGGGCAGGCGGCCCGCGCTCTTGGCTGCTGCCACCCGCAGCGCCCGCATCCTGCCAGGCGGCGCTCCAGAGGTCGCCGAGCCCCGAAGCGCCTTGGAGTCGGCCCCGCGCGCATCACTTTGGCTTGCCGAAGGCCTGGCCCAAAGATGCGCGTGAGGCGGTGCGCCTGGCGGAGGGCCGCATGTTCGCGCGCGCGGCGGTGGTCTCCTGCCGTGGCGTCTCCGCCCGGGTCTCGATGGCCAGACGCAAAGGCCGCAGCAGGAAAGGGCCAGCCCGCCTGGAGATCTGCCGACGAGGCCAGGACCTCGGTCTTGCCCCAGTTGATGGGAAGCCGCTTATCGCTCAGCATCTGGGCCACGCCATTCACAAACTGGGTGATCAACCGCGCTAAGATTCGCCTCGTGCCGATGCCGTGGCCCGCCGCATCGTCTATAACGTTGGCCACTTTGCCTACCTGCAGGAGTGCGCGTCCACGAAGCAACAAGTCAAACGGCATGGGCCGCGCGAGAGTCGTAGCACGCGAGCAGCCAGCAATCACCGAGCCTGCTGCGCGGAGCTCCTCGCTGACCGCGCCGTCGACGGTGGCGCGCCTGGGGCCCGCGTAGGCGACGCGCAGGGCCTTCGCCACCCCCGCGCTGAAGCCGTTGGCCTCCGCCGCCTCCCGCAGCCGCTCGTGGTCGATCCACTCGTTGAACTTACTGATGTCAAAGTAGACCGAGGCGCCCTCGAACCCCTCCGATCGGGAAAGGCCGATGTAGAGATTGTGCAGGTAGGCAGCCCTGTCGCAGCTGGTGTCCGAGCTAGAACCCCAGATCTCAGGAATTTGGCGATCAGACCCCCAGCGCGCGCAGCACCTCCTGCGAATGCGCCCCCAAAGCCTCGGCCAGAAGGCCATCGGGCCGATGGGCCGTCTGCCTCGGGCAGGCTTGCCGAGGAAGACGATCAGGGTGGCGAGGGACCCAGTGGGCATGGGGTTGCGCTCCCAGGCCGTGAGCACCTCCGCAACGCGCTCGGCAACGGGCTTGCCCAGTAGCAGTAGCAGCCTGGGGCGGAAGGCGTCCCAGCCCAGCGCGGTTCGCTTGGGGGGGGGGGGTCTCTGCCGCCGTCAGCACCTCCTCCACCGTGATGGCGGGCAGCTCCATGACGACCTGCCGCTCGGAGGGCGGGATGGGCGCCCTGGTGCCGCTGCCTCCAGCAGGCTCGCTGGCGCCGCGCCTGTCCTGCCAACACCGCTTCCGCTCCTGCAGAGTCTGGTCCAGCGCCGCCTGCCCAACCAGCGGCGTGGGCGGGAACTCGGGCACTGCGTCAGACGTCGCAGACGGAAGCTCCCCGGGGGGCGGCTTGCTGACCGCGTGCGCCACTCGTCCTCCAGCGGCCAGCTTGTCGTCCACGAAGTCGCGCCATCTCTTGCGGGCTGCCTGGGCATCCGCGCGGACGTGGTTGGTAGTTGCCGCCTCCATGGCACCCGGGAAAAAGCTGCCAGTGCTCGAGGGCGCTCTCACCTCCTCCAGCAGCGGCCGCATGCTCGGGACAGAGAACATCTTGCAGCCCTGCTGGATGAAGCTCGGCACCAGCGAGACGGCGGCTGCTTCAAGGTGGCTCATGTAGGCCAGGTGCCCATGACCTGGGGTCTCCAGCGCTGCGGCTGCCGCCCGCTGTCTCGCCAGCCGCCCCGGCGAGATTCCGTGCCTCGTCGGCGGGCTGACCTTCCGAGCCGTCTTGGTCCTCTGCAGATCTTTCAGGGGCTTCTTGATTCGGCGAACTCCTCGGGCGCGCCCTCCATACTCGTCGCCGGCCTCGCCCGGGTCCGGGAGATTGATCGGGCGCGCCTTCCAGCGCGTGCCATCCGCGGCGACCAGCTCCGCCGTCCAGGCCTCTGGGGGCACATCCGACTCGACGTCGAAATGCCGAGGCGCCTGCAGCGCCCAGACCTCCGACATAGCGCCCAGGCAGGCGAAGGAGAGGCGCGCGGGGGCGCGCGGGTGCAGCGCAGCAGGCCGAAGCGCCTCAACCTTCGGCCCCGGCGCCGCCAAAGCCGCCGAGACCACGAAGAAGTCGCACTTCCTGTTCAGACATGCTGGGTGCTCGGGCTCGAGGATCGCGCCTCCGACAGCGCGCGGCCACCAGGAAACGGCGAGCTCCCGCGGCTCGACGTTCCAGTCGCCGCCCACGATGAACGGCTCGCTCAGGCCGTTGAGGAACTCCTTCGGCGCCCCCGGCAGCTCCAGGTTCAGCCCCGCCAGGCGCGCCGAGTGCTCCAGGTGGACGCTGACGGCCACCGCCGCGAGATCACCGAGGGCGACCCTGCGAGGCATCGCCCTGGAGGCGAGCTCACCCCAGTCCAACTCCATCGGTGCCGCTCCTCCGAAACTGGCCGTCACGATGGCCACTCCAGACGACACCTCCTGCGCCTTGTCTCCAGTGCGCTTGCGCGGGCGAAAGGCAGCCTGGAGGCCGTTGCGGTGGCGCCGTCCTCGAGCAGCCCCAGCGGCGCGACAAGAGGCGAACCTGGTAACCAGGTCTCCTACCAGGAGCAGGTCGTCCGAGGTCCAGCATCTCGCAGTTGCTCCAGCGCTGTCTGCGTCTGTGCCCAAGACGAGCCGTTGATCGAGACGGTGCTGGCGGCAGCGCCCAGCGCAGGTGGGGCGAGCTCCGCCAGGACAAGCTGGCGCGCCGTCGAGCTAAAGTACCCGCTTGCTCGCCGCCTCCGCCACGACCTCGTTGGGAACCGTAGCCAGAGGGCCCGCGTCCGCAGCCTCCTCCGCGAGATCCCGAACCAGCCCAGGCGAGACCTTGGTCCAGGCTCTAATCGCTGGTGGGCGCCTCCTCTCACGTACTCGCTCCACGGCCGGCTGCGGCTCCACCAGGTCCACGTCCGAAACGGAGTCCACCTCGCCTCCGTCGAGGGGGCAGCTGTCGCTCCAGGACTCCCGCGTCGGCGGCACAGGCGCGCACTGCACTAGGGGGAACATGGACTCCACCGCGACCATCTGCTGCATCGCGAGCTCCCAGGTGAGGGCGAAGTTTCCAGCCGTGTGCGCCGACGGCAAGTTGCGGAGCTGAGAAAGAACCCGCGCATGGCCGCGACGTCGCCCTCCGACACCTGAAGGCGCTCGTGGCCGTCCCGAACCTCCGCCGCCCCCGACTCCAAGGTGTTGAAGCGCTCCTTCGCCGCCTTTTGCTGCTCCTCTGCCTGCGCCAGCTTCTCGTGGGCCGCCTGCAGCTCCGCCTCCGCGTCGGCGACGGCCTGCGCAGCATCGGCGAGGGCACTGCGCGCACCAGCCAACTTCTTCTCCGCCCTGCTGGCGGTGTAGGCCTCTCTGCGGAGCTTTGCAGCTAGCGAGAAGCTTGCCTGCTTGTCGGCAGCCAGCGCCGCAGCCAACTCGTCTCGTTGAGCTCGGAAGGCCACCAGCTGCTCCTCCACGAGCCCAGCGCTGCCACCCGACAGGCAGGGGTAGTCCTCGAGGTGCTTGATGTCTCTCTGCAGCTGGTCCAAGCGTCCGCTGGCGTCGGAGGCAGCTCTCTCGCCCTGGCCCGCGGGAGTGCCAGCGCCCGAACCATCGGCTGGGGCGGTCGCGCCAGCTGCCACGGCACGGGCCCTGCGGCGCCCCTTCTTGCCCTTGCCTGGGCGCACCCAGCCGTCGGCGTCGACCTCGGGCAAGGTGGTCGCGTGCCGCACGGCCCGTGGCGGCGCCTTGGCCTTGCATCCGATGCACGCGCTGCGAGTGCAGGAGTTCCACTGCCTGCAAGCGCGGCTGGTGCAGATCCAGTACGCACTGTCGCCACGGCCACGAGCACCAGCACTGCCAGGGGCCGCAGGAGGCGCTATCCCTCGGGCCCGCCCGCGCCAGCTCCAGTACACAACCTCGAACTTTCACCCGGCCCGAAGCGCGGAGCCCCTCGCGCTCAAAGCGCCGCCGCAGACGACTCGCGGTCGTCGGGCGTTCCATGGCCTTGAGCCAACATGGCTACGGACGGTGTGGGCATCGGAGAAGGAACCCTTAGATAAGGAATCCAAGGTCTGGCAGCCAGTGGAGCTCCAGTCGTGGATCGGCCATGGATATCACCACCGCCCTCATCGCATAAGGGATCCTCCAAGGTGTGGCGCCTCCTGGGGCCATTCCTTAACCAACGCCCCCACCGTGTGGCGCACGCCGTGCCGGACGCCCTTCCGTGACGGCGACCCCGGGACCGGACCCAGGCGGGCGCAGAGGCCTGCAGCAACGTGCGGCCACCGCTCCTCAAGGCTTTGCAAGGGGGGGTTCTGCCCAGACATCCGCCTATGTATGTTTAGGTCAGACGTTTTCTCCTACAGGCGGATTTTGTAAGAAAGCTAAAGCATGGTCACAACATGCTCAAGCATAGTCCAGAAATAATTCAGCATCGTCCCCCGAGTATGTTTGGACTATTTTTGAATACTCCTCTTGTACAGGGACGCGCTCGACTCAAGTCAATGTGTTCGTGTCAGCCCGCGGTTTCAGAGGCCCCGACCCGTATTCCCGACGTCGTGCTTTTGCTCACGACCTCGACCCCCAGAGGTCTGGACCCCTTCCCCTGGACCGGTCCTTCATCCCGAATCGTTCCCTGACGGTCCCGGGGCCCAGCGGGCCCGGCGAGGGGCCCCCGGAGGCCGAACATAGCGAGAAGCCCTTCACGACGCGAGGGGGTCTGCGGAGGCCCCGACCGCTTCCCTCGGGGGCGGCAAAGAGGGGGGGCGTCCAAGAGGGGTGGGTGCAAATCATGGCCGGCGGCATGTGCGCGGCCCAGCGGGGCGGCCAGGGACGTAATGAAACAATAAGAAGCGCCATGAAATCTGGGGAAATATCATGGCCCCCGCCATGATATCCACCCCCTTCTTTGCCGCCCCCGATTCCCCCCAGGCTCGCCTCTTGCCCTGGGCCCATATCTGGATGGCCCCGAAGGTCCCGAGGACGGCTCCCGAGGGCCGCAGAAGTAGAGGAACCGCCGCCCCCAGGAGGAGGACGAGGAGGAGGGGGAGGGGGAGGGGGAGGGGGAGGAGGAGGAGGAGGAGGAGGAGGAGGAGGAGGGGAGGAGGAGGAGGAGGAGGAGGAGGAGGAGGAGGAGGAGGAGGAGGAGGAGGAGGAGGTGGAGGAGGAGGAGGAGAAGGAGGAGGAGGAGGCAGAGGCAGAAGGAGGAGGAGGAGGAGGAGGAGAAGGAGGAGGAGGAGGAGGAGGAGGATCCCCTCATGCCTCGGGGGGGTCTGGGCCCCGAGCCTCCCAGGCCTCGGGGACGCACTTTACCCGGGTCAACGCCGCAAGCCCGGGTCAGTCAGGCCCTGCGATCCAGACCCCCTCGCGTTGTGACAAAATCACGACGGGCAATTTTTCGCTGTCTTCGGCCTTCGGGGGCCATTGCCAGGCCCCGGGACCGTCAACAAACAACCCAGGATGAAAAACTGGTCGCGAGGAAGGGGTCCAGACATCTGGGGATCGACGCTGTGACAAAATCACGACGTCAGGTCTGGGGACCCTGCAAGGTCCTGCAACCAAACCCGGGTCAATGTACCCCTGGCCCTGCAGGATCCTGCAAGATCCGGCGCTTTGGCTGACCCCCGTTTGCATTGACCCCCGTCGTAAAGCTCCCGAAGGCCGTGTCCAGGCCGTGCTCCGAGCGGGGGGGGCTTCGGCTGGCGCCTCCCCGGGGTCCAGACCGGGCGCCCCCGATGGGGCTCGCAGGCGTCTCGGCGCGGCTCGAGGCGCCGAAGATGGCCAAAGGGGGCCGCAAGATTGCTCCATGGTGGCGCCAAGCGGCCACGCGAAGACGGCTGCAGATGGCTCCGCGAGGCTCCAATACGCTCCAAGCGTCTCCGCGAAGAATGCTCCAAAGGGCTTCGGATGGCTCCGCGAAAGGGCCCCCCGAGAGACAACCGTCGTCAAGCATGTAAAATATCGGACGTGGCCATAACCCCACCAACCCTCGGGGCGTAGGTGATTTAGCGAGTTAGTTCTTCGAATCCGCTTCTTCCCCTTGCGGGGATGGGCTTGCCACTGCTTTTTTTTATTGCTTGCACTCGCGCCGTAGCTCTTACACAAAGGAGGGGGCGCGGTGCTGCTGATAATGGAAGCGGGGCTGGCGGGTCGGGGCGTAGGGGAGGTGGCGTGCCGTGTGTGCAAGCGTGCAAGCGCCGTACTGAACATGCGTGCGTAATGAAGGAGTCGGGGCGGAAGGGGCACGGGGGCTGTTGAGAGTGGGGGGTCGAAGCCACCAGGTCGGGGCGTAGGGGGGGGTGCTGTGCCGTGCAGGCGTGCGGGGCAAGGAGGTCGGGCGCAGGCGGTGTCGGGGCGTACGGTGGGGTGCCGTAGCGTGCGTGCGGGCGGATGAAGAAATTGGGGAGAAGGGGGCAACGGGCTGCTGGAAAGGAGGGGTGCGGGGCTGCCTTGTCGGGGCGAAGTGGGCGGGGAGCGCCGTGCTGTGCGTGCGGGTTAGAATGTTGGGGCGGGGCGGAAGTGGCGCGGGGCTGTTGGGAACGAGTGGAACGGGGCTGGTGAATCGGGGCGGGGGGGGGGCCTAGCGCGCGTTCGTAGAGAATGAATACATCGGGGCGGATGCAGCGTGGGCTCCTGGAAATGGGAGGCGGGGCTGCCTGATCGGGGAGGCAAGAGGGGGGGGCGCGGGCTGCGTATAATGGGGGAGCAGGGCTGGCGGGTCGGGGCGGAGGGGAAGCGCCTGGCCGCGGGTGCGCGCGTGCGGGATCAACCGAGTGACGGAAAGGGCACTAGGCTGCGGGGCGGCTGGGAATGCGACGAACGGGGCTGGCGGGTCGGGACCAATGGGGGGGCGCCGTAATGTGCTTGCGTGCGGAATGAAAACGCTGGGGCTGATGGGGCGGTGGGCTTTCGGAAAGCGTGGATGCAGAGCTGTCTGGTCGGGGCGAAAGGAGGGGTGTGGTGAAGGGCGCTGTGCTGTGCGTGCAGACTAGGATGTCGTGGCGGATCAGGGGGGGCGTAGGGCAGAAAGAGATGTTGGAATCGGAGCCGGCTGGTCAGGGCGGAGAGCGGAGAGGAAGCGACGTGCCGTGTGTGCTCGCGTGTGGGATCAAGGTCGGGGCTGCTGGGAATGGGAGGAACGGGCTGGCAAGTAGAAGCGGAGGGGGGGGTGGCGGCGCCAGGCCGCACGTGTGTGCGGAATACAAGGTTCGAGGCGGAGTGGGCGCGGAGCTGATGGGAATGGGGAGCGGGGCTGGAAGGTCGTGCCAGGGGGTCGTAACGTGCGTGCGGGACAAAGAAGTCGGGGCTGATGGGGCGGGGGGCTGCTGGAAAGCGGAGAGTCGGTGCCGCCTTGTCGGGACGAAGGAGGGGTGGTGCTGTGCTGCGTGTGCGGATTGAGGCGTCGGTGCGGATTGGAGAGGGGTGCGAAGCTGCTGGGGATGGGGGGAACGAAGCTGGCGGGTGGCAAAACAATGAACGCTCCTCCTCCCCTCGACCGGCCGCCCACCAGGAACCGTTCGCCCCCGCAGCCATCCCTGCCAAACAAACAAACCAATGTGCGTGTGGCGGTGAGCGACCCCCCCCCCGCGAGCAGCTCCGAAAATGTTTCGAGGGGTATGGCGGGTGGGCGGTAATGGTTGTCCACTGTTGGCTGTCCCGCTGCCTTCATCACGAACAATGGCGAGCCCACTGCGGGTGCACACAATAAGCCATGCGGACCCCCCCGCTGCCACTTGGCAATGGTTTTGCCACGGATGATCGGGGGATCGACACATTGCCCGATGTGTGCTGCCACGTGCTCTGGCGCACTCGGCGCACTCTGCGCGCGCTGCACCTGGCGTGGCTGGAGCAGGCGGCGCACTTGGCACACGTGGCGCACCAGGGGCGCCTGGCAAGCTTGGGCCCCTGGGGCCCCCGGGACACCTGGCGCGCCGAGTGCGCGCTTGGCACGCATGGCGCACCTCGCGAGCGTCGAGCGCCTGGCGTCTGTGTTGGTTCCCAACGGACGTCCATCCGATGTCGGCCTCTGCCGGGGCTGAGTCTCAGGTACTACCTAGGTGGAGGGAGGGCGGGTGCTGTCCACTTTGGCTTACCACAGGGGTGCTTAGCTCGCCCGACTCGATAACTCTTGTCGGCCCTTCCAGAAGACTCCCAGTTGGCCTCCTGCCCAGCCCGCCAGCCCTCGAAAATGGAGATTTCATATGCTTTTTCCGTTCAAGATGACTCTACCGAGGCCCCTACGACTGCCACGGTGGACTCCAAAACGATCCCGAGACGCCTCCAGGAGGGCCCGAGGATGGCACACTCGCTGTTTCGTTTTGTTCCAATGGCTGCTTGGGTGATTTTCGCATTCTCGCCTTTTTCGGGCTGCTGAAGCCGTTCAGATAACCTCGAGTGATCCCCTCCAGACGAGACGAGATGCCCACGGCACCACGTGGCCCCCAAGACGGCCTCCGAAGGCCAACTCCTTGGAGCCCCCTGGAAGCCCTCAAGGGGACCTGAAGGGGCCCCGAGAGGCTCCCAAGAGGCCCAGGACGCCCCAGGAGGCCCTTAGAGGCCTCCTCTTCCTCCTCCTCCTCCTCCTCCTCTTCTCCTTCTCCTCCTCTGTCTGTCTGTCTCTGTCTGTCTGTCTGTCTGTCTGCCTGCCTGTCTGTCTGTCTGCCTCTGTCTGCCTCTGTCTGTCTGTCTGTCTGTCTGTCTGTCTGTCTGTCTGTCTGTCTGTCTGTCTGTCTGTCTGTCTGTATGTCTGTCTGTCTGTCTGTCTGTCTGACATCTCTCTCTCTCTCTCTCTTTCTCTTCTCTATCTCTCTCTCACCCCCCCAAGGGTTTCCACAACGGCTGGCGGACCACCCAGTCCAATAGCCTGGCCAGACGTGGGAGCAA